GGTGAATCCTTTTTCCGCAGGTGCACTCGGAAAAAATAAACAGAAAGCCATGGCAAAGTGGGCCGAACCAGTAAACGTGACTTTGAGTAGTTTCAATCCCAGATGGTGGGGCCGGGGAATTAGGTATAACTGGCTGATGATGTATGCGAAATTAACTAGAACTGAAAGTTCTTCGGTGGGACGTCTAACCTGTACGCACTTAAGTCCTGTCCAAAAGAAAACAGATATCATAACGAGAGTGCAAGAGAGCCTACTTACTTTTCGTACATCCTCCAGAATTGAAGACGGCAGCTTGTCGGAGTCCGTCTGCGCAGGCGACTCTGTAAGCTTAGGTCGTTCCGGTGAAGTAGGCATGGTCGTCTTCACGCGGTGTATGGGAAGACATTTGGCATCTACCGGCGACACAAGATCCCAGTGCGCAAACATGCGCAGTTGGGCTTCCACGTAGTCTGCTGAGGGTAGGGAATTCATGCTGCCCGACTCGGCCAATGCCTGCGCTTCGGGTAGGTGAGTTAGGAGGTAGAGCACTTCTGTATCCCTTACGTTCAATAGTCTTCTCAGGAAAATTTCATTTGTCGGCTCCGCAAAGGCTGGAGGAGTACTGGCACTTTCCTCTGGCGCAGGACTGCCCTCTTCTCCTACTTCGATTTGTCGTTCAGGAGATGTTTGCGTTTCGCAAGAGACCCTCACAGAGTCTTTACTTGCGCGCGGTGTCATATCCTCTTCTTCCTCCTCCGCCCCATCACATCCAGATTTACTTCGATCGGATATCCTGAAACCACTTTTCGCCTTTGAGCCAACAAGCCAGCCACGCAGATTTGCAATCTGGTCAGAAAGCGCGGACAGTGGGAAGAGGTGTTCACCATACTGTGAACACTGAACATCACCATATTTGTAAAATTTGAGGGCAAAAGCGTCCAGTGAGTAGAGGGCTTGCAGCCGAAGAGTTTCAATAGCCGACAAATCTCCGCGGTCTTCTGGCCAAATCAGACAGGGAGCACTACGACAACTCAGCTGCATGGAAGTAAGAGGGGGAACCACCCCCAGAGCCAAGGGGACATAGCCCTCACCATCCGCATTTAAGTCTTCACAACCATCCTTGGTTGTAAGTCCGTGCTGGGAAGGTCGCGTGAAAGGACCCAGCTGAAACCTTGCTGCGGGGGAGTATGAGTCACCCCGGTCTCCAATAAGGAAGTCCGCCAGGCTGCTTTCAGCTGGCATTTGCGAAGTTGCATCATTAGTCTGCACTGGACTGAAAACTCTGCTGGCTTCCGGCAAATGACCCCTTCCAGGGAGGCTCGAAAGTACCTGACTTTGAACGGACTGTGGAGGAAGAGAGCAAAGACACTGTGACAGGGGAATTGTAATGTCGTCGGATTCTATAGACCTTTCTTCGGTAGCCTGATTCGCATCGGGTAAAGGAGTTGATTTGAGTAAAGCAGCAAAGGACGCCCAGCTTTCGGAGAGTTTCTTGGCGCCTGCGGAAGACGCAGCGTCAGTTTCCGGTGCTGAGGATTCCTCCTTCAGCGGATCAAAACCAAAGCCACGCAAAAGCACCCGACGAAGTTGAACATAGAGGAATGAGCTGAGACATAGCAGAGCCTGATGGTCAAAGAGAACGCTCCTGGCGGTCGGCTCAGCATCAAGCAGCCCGGTGAA